TATATATATATACCGGGTGGCGCAAAAAAAATTTACCCTGTTTGATTTGTTTTAACTTCAAAGCTAAAAGAGCTATTACATGTAAACTACGTGCATTGTATTCAGTATTGTCTAACTTAAATTTTGATATACGCCCTGTGCATTTATGTGCAATATTGACCGAGAGAGCTGCGTTTAAACTTGAGTAAACATTTTTGAATGTGTCGAGAATTAGCCAAAAACGGCCTATCAAATATTTAATACAGCAATAACCTGTGCTTAGACGCACTATAGTCAGAAAGTACACGTTCGTTGTCAGAGACCTGCCCTACGCCGCCGGTATATAACCTCACGAGCATTATTTACCCTTACATATTCTAAACATATCAAAACTCTTTGGTCATTCGTTAAACGAGGCGTATTTATAAAAAAAAACACTTGACGTTTCTTTCTTGGAACATCAGAATTTGATTCCCCAGGGTCATTGGATATTTAAAATAAATCTTTTAATCAAAATCGCTACATAAATTAATTTTCATGCATTCCCAAAGACCTTAAACAAAAATAAAAGAGCACCTCCATCCTATAAACATTTTTAATTTAAATTTCACTTCATTGAAACGAATATTTACGATAAAATGGTAAGGGTTATCAAATTAGTTTAACAGGCCGTTTTTAGCTAATTCTCGACACTTCCCAAAATGTTTATTCAAGTTTAAACGCAGCTCTCTCGGTGAATATTGTACGAAATTGCACAGGGCGTATATCAAAATTTAAGTTAGACAATACTGAATGCAATGCACGTAGTTTAGGTGTAATAGCTCTTTTAGTTTTTAAGTTAAAATAAATCAAACAGGTTAACTTTTTTTGCGCCACCCGGTATATATATATATATATATATATATATATATATATATATATATATATATATATATATATATATATATATATATATATATATATATATATATATATTTATATATATAGGCGAATGTCAATAAGTATATTGAGTGTCGAATCATAAGAATAGAGTGCTCGATACAAAAGTAGAGCAAATAAAAGACAAGCTTGAGTTACTTCGTTTAAAACATTTATTCACAACAAATTTGTTTCGTATGGCAAGCTAGGCTTGCCACACTCATTTGTATATAACAGCTCAAGTTACCTATAGGTTATAACATCATGTAAATACGCGATATCACCATTCACCTGATGAGTGTGGCAAGCCTAGCTTGCCATACGAAACAAATTTGTTGTGAATAAATGTTTTAAACGAAGTAACTCAAGCTTGTCTTTTATATATATATATATATATATATATATATATGTATTTATTTTACTTCCTATCATCATATATATATATATATATATATATATATATATATATATATATATATATATATATATATATATATACATACTATATATATATAACTACAGACGGTACCGTTTCGGCCTAATGGGCCTCATCAGTGTAGTGCTGATGAGCAGGATGAAAGTAACTCTTATTTATAGTTACCTTTGATGCCTCACGATTGTGGGACATCAAAACCATATATATATATATAATATATATATATATATATATTTTTTTTTCTTGCGGTCCGAAGTCATATTTTACGCTTTTCTGCAATCTAATTGGCTACGTGAGCGGTCCGTATGAGCCCGTACGGACCGCGCGAGATTTAAAGCCGTAGAGCCAATGTTTTTATTTTTCAAAATTTAAAGACGAGTTTAAAGGCTACTTTTTAAAACATTAAAATGTCTGCAGACGATGAAAAACACAGTGAAAACGAATTTTACTCTCACAAAAGATATTTCTCTTCCCGATAGCATTGATAGAAACGACGTTTTATTTGGCAGCTTCATTCGCGTGCGGGAGGAGTGATTGGGGAAATCTAGAGGAGGAATTTAAAAAAAATAAAAATATTATTTACCGGTATGGTCGGTCCGTATAGAGAAATATTTCTCTCGGTCTTAAAAACGTCCCTCGGCCTTCGGCCTCGGGCCGTTTTTAAGACCTCGAAAAATATTTCTCTATACGGACCTCCAATCCGGTAAATAACATATATATATGTTTAAATATTGTAGACGGAAATTTGGATCGAGTGTTAATTTCATACATTAATTTAGACCTAACCAGGGGCAGCTGCCATAAATGCAACTATAGGCCCTCAGATAGGAACTGAACCTGCGAATCTTGTGCAGTCGCAATCCTCTGACAAATTGAGTTACAGAGCCCAATTGTCGAGCTCTAACTGCAAGTTCATGCCTGTAAATATATTGTATATATTGTATATTTATGTTCTTGCAAAGCCTGATTGTTGTATCTTGATCATTTATTATACTGCAGAAGCAAGTAAATAGAAATAATTGTCGAATAAAGTACAATATTTTGAATACCGAAAAGTAAAAGGCTTTATTTACATACGGATTGTACCCTACCTTTAAGATATATGGGTAAATATCAGGATTATTTTGGGCATCCCCACTCGATTGAACTATTTTGAAGCGGTGAGGGCTCGACAACTATAGACTTTGCTCAGTTGGTTAGAACGCTGCACAAAAATCGGTGGGTCGCAAGTTCGATTCCTGGCAGAGGACCTACATAGTTGCATTTTTCGCAGCTGTGTCTTGGAATGCCTAAATTAATGTTGAATTTTCATTGCCTGTGTAGGTAGTCCCCATAAATAAATCGCTTTCGTTAGTAGCGATGCAACTACCTCAAAAATATCAGGACAATTTCGACACTTCGAACGATCAGGCCATTTACATCAATCAATTAGGTTTACATCCTAAGCCACTCCTTGAATATATATATATATATATATATATATATATATATATATATATATATATATATATATATATATATATATATATATATATATATATATATATATATATATATATATATATATATATATATATATATATATAATTTCGCTTACCTCAAAATTCCGCAACAGTCTGTTTCATCAGTAAACCGCCTCATGATTCTTTACTGATGAAACAGACTGTTGCGGGATTTTGAGGTAAGCGAAATTCTCTATCTTTATGATATTGAGCACTCTTTGCGTTTCGTATTCATAAACCTACTCGTATATATATATATATATTATATATATATATATATATATATATATATATATATATATATATATATATATATATATATATATATATATATATATATATATATGAACTTATCAACAAACCTTGTAAGAGCGTAATATTAGCAGTCTTGAAACGGCATCTCCCCTCCGCGTCCTCTGCAGTACAACTGACTGTCCGCGATAAAATAGGAAAGTAGGTTTGAACATTAAAAGAACATTGGAATACTGAATCGATACCAGGAGCGTCACATGCCGCAACTTCGAATCGGCCGATATGGATAGTGATCTTCACTGGTAGCAGAGGGGTGCTGACGTTGATTGCATTGCAGGAGATAGAAAGGTTACCCAATTCAGGTATAGTTGTAGACGACACTGTTATGTTTACATCTGGTTCAGATTGGCCTGGAAGGGAAGAACAGTTTATAATTATGCATGCATGTCAGTACAAGATTAAGCTAAATACTTTCACGCAGTTTCCTCTATACACTTACGGGGTCTATTTTAGGGGGTACGCATCTCCGAAAACCGCGCTGTTTTTCAAATTTTAACCGCAAACCGCGCACTCATTTCTCTTTTAAATGTAACCGCGTTCAAACCGAAGCATATATATGTGGTAACATATTTCGAAACATATTCCGCAACATAATGTGAGGCAATAGACCATATAGTCAGCACGTGTAGTCGCCATTTCTATTGGAGTATTGAAGAGGGAGCCGTTCACAAGTTTCACGCGAACTTGGTAGTATAAAATTTGGCAATTATGCAATTGGCAAAGCAAACGAAGTCTTAGCAGTTCAAATAGCTATAAAAAGGTTTTCCTTCCATCGCTGCTTATGTTTTGTGTGAGAAACAATCAAGTTGCTTTGATTTCGTCTTTTCTAGCAAATATTTATTACTTTGAGACTGATCTCAGTTCGTAATTAGTAGCAATCGGCAAGCCAGAATATTAAAAAGCATGTTCTACTTTTACGGAATAATTTTTCCTCAATAATTTCACAACCCCCGGTAATTTTTTCCCCTCGAATTTTTAACAAATTAAGCGGAATTTTTGGTGTTCTGGTGTTCCGTATTCCGGAATGATGCTGTTCCGGTGTTCCTGGTTTTACTAATAGCCCGGCAACTTTTCTAATTTGATTTCGTCATTTCGAGGCCCTGTTGAGCAACACATACGCGCGATCGGAAGATGAATGCCATGAACTGAATTATTGCCATGAGCTCGTAAACTATTTCTTAACCGCATGTTAAAAACTATCCGAAAACCGCTATTTATTTTGGCCAAAAACCGAATCCGGATGGTTAATTTCGACATTTTCCGTCTCCGCACGATTTCCAGTTTTCCGCAAACCGTACAAAATAACTGGATATAACCGAAATCCGACCTCAAAATATGGCTAAATCCGCATAACCGCGAAACTATAATAGGCCCGGCCCCCTTACGGACTAAATAATTCCTAATATGGTTATATTAATAAAATAATCTTGAAATATTGATTCGTCATCTTTCATCGGTTATAGGAAGTACAGGCAATCGTTCCAGATAAAGTTTAAATATTTTATCCCATTCCTAAGGTTAATTGAAACTTTATTGTACATGACTAACTGTTTGTATGCCTATACTCGCCCTAGGGAGAAAAATTATACACACATACGACATTGAGAAAAGAAATATTATATAGAAGTCAAGGTTTGTTTCCCGTGCTTTGATATTCTGTTCACTTTCTATATGAACTTACCCGGTTGTGGTTCTCCTGCTACACAATCCTCCTGTGATGGAGAAATAGGAGCACTTAAAACTATAAGAACATGAGCGCTGAGAAGAATTATTCCAAGGAACATATTTTCCATTTTTATATATCGCGGTTATTCTAAACAAATTCATACAAATTTACAATTAGAATGGATAATAGAAGCAAAAATATATACAAAAAGAAATTATAGCCTTTTTGTTATGTCATCCGTTCGTAAATTAGTGAAATGTAATGGTGAAAAAATTAGTGCTATAATTATATTATAGCTGGACTGTGGATTTCAGCACCCTTGCACGAATTTTTTTATATAAAATTGCGAGCCAAAATATAGTGGCTAAGTATTATAGGTTTCCACTGACTAGAATATTTGGATAAATGATTTTTTCATTCCCCTCACAAATTTTTGAAATTTGGAAGCTAAGAAGATTGGAAATAAAAAATGTGCTGTCTATTGGCAGTTGCGATTGCTTGAAATGTACAAGTTGTACAAATTAAATATTACTGTTACTGTGCATGTCAGTAGGGAAATACTGGAAGTATACACGACTGCATGATCGGCCATTCCACGCAGGGAAGAGTTATCAATGGTTGACGGTTTCGATCCCAGGATTTGTCAAACAGGAATTGAATTGAATCACACGCACCCCCTGGCCTTTTCCATCGGCGAGCTTATAATATGAATAATGTCTCAAAGTAATAATGCCGAAATAATACATCAAAATAGTAGAATAGCCGAAATAATGCCAAAATAATACATCAAAGCCTCAAATCAGGTTTAAGAAAGTCAGTCACCGTTATTAAGAAATCTACATTTTAATTTTTTTCAAAATCAAACGAACCAGAGAATACCGGGCACTGAGATATAGTGATCACGCGTTCAAAAGTGTAAACAAAACAGTTTTTGATCATGTAAGTTATGGGGACCTCAGGATGTACATGCAGTACCTGTAGTGCGGAAAACACAATCTTATAGCACTTAATCAATAAACAAACTCAATTCAGGCTATATTGACTATTGTAAATAATTGTATCTATAATACATCAGTATAAAACTAACATTCACGGTGGTTTATATACGTTAGGCTGCAATGACATACTTAGATAGAGGATAATAGCCTATATAAATAAAGAAAAACGTAACCTATAACTGCGAAAAAAATCGTGAACTTGAGATAATAATTTCTTAGTGTACCAAATAAATTAATATCAATCGATCCTTTTTACAATTAGTAAATATCATGCATAAAAACAATTGTATTCTGATTATGACTGCAGACTGTACTATAAGCCAGTTAATTCTCACCTGAAAGTTTGCTGTTTTTGCTTGAACCAAAGTTACCAAACCAAAAGTGATCACTTGGTTAGTCTTATACTTGGGGCTTTGAACTTTAATGCTGTAATGACAAATCTTCACAGACTAACCCTATTTCAAGGCGTATCATATTTTCAGGCCAATATTTCAATACTTCCATGATTAAGAACATGTTTACGACCAACTTAAGTGAATCATTGCGTTTGTTTTCCTCCGGTTTTCTATTCCGAATTTGGTGCCATGGCGTCATTATATTGCACTGCTCATCAAGTGCCAGACCAGGGAGTGATGAGTCGCGTGATTCAGAATGACCAATTAAGTCTGGTTTATGATAAGTACGCATATTCGCTCTAGTTAGCCACAAAACTATCACATTGCAATGATGTTTTTGTTTGATATCCATCTAGTGAATACGATATTTGTTTTCCGATTAAGTTATTTTTATACATTATGAATGATTCCAGAAAAATAAATGAATGGCATTAGATATGCATTATTCTAGCACAATCAGACTGTAAGGCGTATCGTTTTCTTACGTTAAGTACGATGTTAATACTGATTCAGCACAAAAAAATTGACCTAAGATTTAGACTGATCATATTAAGATGCCACTGCATTATATAATTGCTTCTACTTAATAACAGGAATGTGGAGAAATGATAAAAATGACTGAAAAAAAATACTGCATGTCAAGCTATTTGCTTAACGTTGGTGGAAGAAGGTACCGTGTTTTGGGGGAATGTATGAGTTTGAGTCCAATTTTAAGCTAAGCCGAGTTAATCAACGCGGTCACCGCAGATTGATTCACGCCCAGATCTTTGTGTTTGATAGAATTAACTCTGAAGTTCATGACATGTGAAACGCCAATCATTCAATCGCCCATGCATTTTTAACTGAAAAATTCAGTGGTGTTAGAGTGAACCATGCGTAAAGTTGAAATTGGGAGGTTGAAATAGACGTGCTTCCAAGAAATTAATGCCAATATAATGGTGTTTATGTAAGGCGATAAGTCTGACTTGAACACTAAGCTAACCAATTGTTTGATATTTCTTTGTTTTGTAAAGTGGCTCGTAGGGTTTCATGCAGTGTGCGGTGACTGCTTCTGTGCGAGGGCGTTCGTTTGCTTATTAATTAGTGACTTTTGACACTTTTCCAAAATATTGTGGTCTGGGAATGAAAGTTAGCATGCAGACAGGATTGCTTCTGATGTTTTCTATAGCCATGCATGCACCATGTCAGTGGCCAATATCGCAGGTTTCCATGTATAATTTAATACCGCTATAATACACCATTTGTTAATCAAAATGACAAAACAAGCTAGGAAAAGAAATAAAATTCACAGTCGAATAGGTTTAGGGTGCGTTAGTAGTGGGGTTAGAGTTAGGATTAGGGTATTAAATCATTGAACTACAAAGACCACTAAACAGTGACTCGGACATTTGACTCAGGCTCGGATTTGACTCAGATTTGACTCGGTTAGCCGACAAACTTCTTTCTGGTCTTGTAAGTTTCAACATTTTCTTGGGGGTATACCCCCAAATCCACAGGGTGCAGAGAACTTACTTCATCTCAGCACCAGCTCTCCCAATCATAACATTTCTGTGTGGTCCAGAATAGGTAGTGACAACAACACCAGAAAGCTGTGGATTGAGAAGGGTTTGCAATAACACCAGAAAGCTGTGGATTAACTTTCAGGTAGTTGAATCCCTCTCCATCCGCAGCTTTCTGGTATACAAACTGTACATACAGTCTGAAGTCACTCAGAAATGTCAAAGTTGCTATGAATAGTGATAATTATTAATGTTGCAATCTGAATATTTTGACACAGACTGAATATGGAAACGTGGTCGTTGTGGTGTGCCTTTAGCAATGTGAATAAATCAAATGCTAAATAAACCACGTTATGATCTTGAATCTTCTCCATTCTGGTTTAATATTACCCTGCTGGCAGTGGTTTCTGAGCTGAGGAGAAACCACTGCGAGCAAACGAACGACCGTTTCATGTAGCCGCCGTCCAGATTCACGGACGAATACATTAAATTCTCAACCGGTAAAACAAGTTTGACAAGTTTTTGTGTTCTGCGCATGGGTAAATGCTTGCCACTGCTGGTAAAATGCGAGTCAGTTGTACACTTGAAAAACAACATCACGCTCTAAATATACTAACACGCTATAAATATACTACAAAATATTATAACGGCTAAACAAAATATTGAATAAAATGTGAGAAATTATACATTAAGATGACTTGAAAACCACCTAACGTTCAACAGAATAACTATACACTGCAACAGAAATCAACCTTTTACAGAAATCAGTAGCGCCATCGCGACGATCGTCTTTGTCCTTTGATCGGTGGAAATTTGTAGTGATTGAGGTCGCGACGATCAAAAATTGCAATAATTGTCAAAATCCACAGTCATTGGAAACATTATTATATTACTTGGAAACTTTGGGAACTGGAATTTAACGAAAACCTTAACACAATCTCTGAAATTAGGATAGCCTACTTACTAATAATTAGAGGTGAAAAAGCAGTGGAATATAGATATCTCATCTAATTTTGTCACTGGCAAAGCACAAAGTCACATACTTGTGCTCAAGGAATAAGTGCCCTATATACACTTGAAAATGGCAAGAATTGAAGGAGCAGCTTTGCCAGTTAGAAACACCTTTTATCTAAATGGCATGTCTGACTTTGCACTTTGTTAAACAATTCGACAAATAATATTAAAGGGTTATTAACCGAGAGCGAGGTCTGTACTGGAAAGTATTTGCCTGAGGTTTTCGTACAGACCGAGCGACGAAGGAGCGATGTCTGTGCGATAAACAGAAGGCAAATACTTCTCCGTATACAGACCGAGCAAAACGAGGTTAATAAACCGTTTATTATATGGTTCCTTAAACACATTTTCCGATTTTCATATATTTTTTTAAGCGCTATAAAGGTATTTTTGAGCTATGTTTTATTTGCTAGTTTTCTTCGTTTAGATTTGGATTCGTCACCGAATATTGTTTACGGAAAAGCATGTTTAACAATAGGTTTAGAACTACTTTTTCGGTAACCCACACCCCCAGAAAAAATGCTTATATTATAGCCCAGTTTATATGATATTTGTTTAGAATATGGTATTAAATACGTTAAATTCATCTTTATTTATTTTTTGAAAGGAGTAAACAAATCAAAAAAATTTCCCGCCAAAACTTATGGTTGCCAGTAAGAGTTCGAACGCTTGTTTTCTTAGCTTTTTCGATGAAATTTGTGTTGGTACAAATACTTATTAATATTTCCAAGACTTCCTATTCTTAAAAATGATCCAAGGATACTTTTTCTTCACATAACGACCTTATAAACGTGTAAAAACGTTTCAAATTCGAGCCTGTCAAATTGACATACGGGAAACCGGTCAGGATACGGGAAAATACGGACCACGATCCGGATACGCATTTTACGGACCGCACGTCGACCAATCAGAATCCAGGATTCCGCAAAGCCATATAATAATATCGTTTATATTATATTATCAAAAACTAGACATACATGCATGCAGCAACCCTCACCTTTATTTTCAAACATTGTTTCAACATGAAATATTTCGAATTACGCCAACACTGAATGCAGGCTCGCGTGTTGCTTACATCAGTTAGCCATGGCAACACGATCATTGTTTTTTTGGAACGGCAAAAATAAATTAATTAATGTTCTACATTTTTTAACCACAGAACTACCGATTTCTAAAATATATAATGTAGGTATGTCATTTTTCATTCTATATTATAGGTTATATTTTAATGTAAAATTCAACACGAATTGCTTCGTAAAACGTTTGTAAACGTTCATTGAAATTTACAGCTTTTTGCCGTTGCTCTCCAACTTAATTATTCTTATTTAGATAAAATAAATTTAAATCATATATATAGGTCGCTGATAAAACAATTTGTTTTCCTTTTATTTTGTTGAAACCAAGTTAATTTAAGAAACTTTCTTGACAAACAATGAATGAAAAGGAAAGTTGCACAAGTTTTAGCTGAACAACAAAGTCATGCAGTAATAAAAATGCATTAATAATTCATGAGGAAAACACAAAGAAAAATCATAAGCGTGTCGTATCTTTATATGTGATAGAGATTTCCCTTCATTTATATACATAAACTTTAACAGCAGCTTTGATTTTCTCGACTTATACAAAGTATCTTTTGAAAATCACTTCGCCAATGAACTTACTAGATTGATCGCTTTTGAAGCAATTTAAAACATTCGCAGCGCGTGTTTTATGGGACCTAAAAATACTCGGCTTAGCCTCGTATCGTTATACAGGTATCTGATAAAACACTGCTGCTTATGATTTAAATTAAATAGTATATAAAAACATTACCCAATTCATCAGGATTTCCTATACTAAATCAATTCTTATCGTTTGTTTAAAAGTTGAAAAAATGCTTTAAAATCATTTATTGTGGAGAATGATATTCCAAGCTTTCTTGTGTTTTTTTTTAAATATCATACACGAACTATATTTTTGAGATCACTGAGGAGGACCATGCACTCACGCACGATGAAACATAGGCATGCGCCAGCGATTAATGATGAACTAATTTAGACTTCGTTAATGCTTTCCTTTTCCCGGGAGCAAATAGCAGTGCGCCGCTCGCTCGGGGATAAAAAATTGTCCTATTGTGCCAGAGCGTTCCAATGGATTATTGCTCAAATTTATATTTTCGGAGCTATTCTTGACGACATATTGCATTATTCTCCATCATTATCAAAACTTTTAAATTGTGACCAGAAACTGAGAGTTTACGCATGTAGATTCTACATATGATGATGTTCTAAGTATCCACTGAATTATTTCAAGAATCAGTCGGCAATCATGTTTTTGATTTGTAGAAAGTCGATCGATGTAAATAAATGGCCAAGGGCTTTGAACCATATTCAGAGACTCGATGATATATTAAAAACACTTCAAACAATTTGAGCCCTAATTTATTTTGCATACGTCTGATAGGGCGAAGCAAAGCAAAGAGCCCGCGAAAATATTTGACTGAGCCCATGATGCCACGCAATGGATGATCAGTGATATCATTTCAAATTTGTCATATTTTCCATTTATTAACAAATAATATTTCCATTTAACTACAAATAATATTAATTTATCTGTTAAGTTAATTTCTACATTGTTACACAATGTTCAATTCTTTATTAAGCTGACGCCGTACTGTCTATTTCGTAATTTGTTCTTTGTAATAAATATTTTTTTCAGCTTAATTTATCTGTTTTACTGCACTCTAATAATGATTGACTTTTTATACATTATATATTTGAATCATTGACTGATATACATAAACCTGTTGAAACGCTAAATACAATAGCGTAAATGGAATCCTGGCAGGTATATTCTAGAAACTATAAAATTATATTGAAATCTAAGGTTCGACACGACCAGGAAGTTATCGATAAGGGTTGGCTAATATATTATTGAAAAAAACCATCAAAGTATCTAATACTTGATTAATTATGCCAAACATATTATTTACAGATCGTCTAATGATGCTTCTCCGAAATCGATCTGATCAGCTAATTGTTTTGTACGTTTACACCCAATTCCGCACATGCTATACTGTATACATATACATACTACTGGTTAAATCTATTTTTAGCATGCAAGCATGTAAAGAAAATGTATTAACCTCTACCTGGAAAATTCAGACAAGCATTAATTTGAAATTTTGCTTGTATTTTGAAGTTCTGCTTAATTTTTTCCGACACTATATAGCTGAATCTCTCTCAATCTACAGCTGTCTTCTAGTCGACCGCCGCTCTACCCGTTGAGCCTATTAGCCATTTCCCAAAGTCCTGGGTCTAGTCGTGCGAATATATCCAATGTTGGAGGGACAAGAAATATGGCAGCACAAATTTAAATTAAAAGTTTTATGTAAAAAGGAGATATTTCATTTTTGGTCGTCTAGAAAGTTGATATTTGATAGTAGATACTTCTACTCTTTCACATATTTGACGCCTGTCACCATATATTTTGTCCCTCCAAACAATCCCAGAATGCACCGTGATTTCTTTTGGGAAAAGGCTAATTGAACAACGGGGATTGGTAGCGAAATACTGCACGTCGTCCAAGACAAGCGCTATAGCGTTAAGTCATCGCAAAAATATTTCGTGCACTTAAATTGGATAAGACTCGTTACCAATCCCGGTTGATTCGATAGCTCAATGGGCAGAGCGGCGGCCTAGAAACCCGAATATACATGTTCGAATCCCGCTTGAGACAACGAATTTGTCAGTCTCAGAATAATACGACAATAGTTTTTTTTATATTTCTGAGGATGATTCTGAAAGAGTACTTTGTTCCTTCAAGGTATTTAAATCAACTCTTTGATGTATATAACGTGTTGAATCGAGCATATATCATGTCTATATACAAATCCATTGGCCGTCTTGGAGGCTAGAAAGTCACGCGTTCTGAAACTTCTGTACCAAATCAGTTGTGAATCAAAATCTTATAACTGCAGTCAGTAGTACCAATGTAACATGTTTCAATGTCTGCGATGTTAAGGAAGTTGCTTCATCACTGGGTGTCGGGTTGTCTGAAATGCAAAAATTGTGATATTCGGAGTCAAATATATTATATATTCATGTTGTTTCATCATGTTGTTGTTCGGTTAATTGTTGAACTCGCGTTGGTCCAGCAATGTTAGGCGATGTTGCACACGCGATCCAACATCTTTCAACATCAGCCAACATAGAAATGTTACCCAACATAGTGTTTAAACGAGGCCAACAACGTTGTTGCAATATTGCATATGGGCAATGGATTGAGAACATGATATTCTCTTCATGTAGGATCTTGTAGCTGAAGCAGGAAATCTTTAAACGTTATTGTAATTATCGATGCAATGTTTAGAAATATACAAAAAATCTGAGACCTTCAGGGCCATAGCTAGCATGTATAGTTGGGGGGGGGGGTGTAGGCCATTGGGGAGGGGACAAAAATTTCCGAAAGACGAAAAAAATTTCCGAATATTTCATGGCATACGAAGCCACGAAGGTGTTTACTATATTGAAAATGAAGACGCAATTTACAATCCAATTATATTATATTTTCGAGCTGTTTAGGAACTAAAATTATGTTATACCTTTATATATTGCCGTAATTTTCCGAATGGCCAACCTGATTTTCCGAATATGTTAATTCTAAAAAAGTTTGGGGGGTTAACCCCCCCCCCCCCCAATACCCCCTCGTGAAGAAAAATCTGATCGTGCTGTTTTTCGAATAGGACCAACATTGATCTCTTAAGGCTGGTTTACACTATCAAAGTTTCTGTGGTCACTGCAGGAGTTTTGCATCGGTGAATTCTACGTTTTGAAGGATTTGTAAGAAATGAGGGAACTCAGTGACTCAGTGCATTTAACATAATAAGATTATCCAACATGAAATTAAACCCAAATATGAAAGTAAAAATGTTTAAAATACTGTTTAAAATACTGTAAAAAATTACTGTCTCATTTGGACGAGAGTGTAAAATTATCTGTAACATTTTCATGTTACAGATTTTTCATATCAAGTTTAACTCTTGAAATATTTTGACTGAAAGCAATGAGCTTTCCGCCATCTTGGTTTAATTCTTAACCTCATTAACGATCAATTCGATGACGTCAGCAGTGTGGTTAACTTTATATAAAATACACCTTACCGTTTATTAATGTTTGACCAAATGGTCTCGTTTTCGTGTCAGGTATTTCCTTGTATTTCGTGCACAATAGGGTTAAGAACTTACTTATTATTGGGCTTAAGATCAACCAGGAACCAAATCGGGAAGGAACGAAACATGGGAAAATAACCTTAACGAGGCCATATGGTCAAAAGTAATTAAACAATCAAACGTTGTTTAAAATGTGGTTATTCAATTCGAAATTTGAAATAGCAACAAAAAACAAATGAACACGTTCATATTGATCACTGGTTGTCAAGATAAAAAATCTTGCGTGACGTCACATAACATCATTAATCCAAGATGGCGGACAACTCATTAATTGCTAATTCAGTCAATGTATTTCAAGAATCAAGCAAGATGTGAAAAATCTGTAACAACCTCTGGCAGATAATTTTAATGTATGAATCATAAGCAAAATAATTACCTGAATGCTTAGTCACATGTTTTGCCGGTTCAGAAATTAATATTTCTTGTGGCTTCATGGTAGTCATCGCAGTTACTTTAGTAGTTATTGTAGTAGTTACTGTAGTAGTTTCAGTCGGCTCTTCGATAGCTTTCTGTAAAACCAATGATTTGCTATAGCAACTTCCATCTTTATGTAATTTAATGCAATCGTATTTTCCAATGTCCCACAGTTGAAGACTGTCTATGAGGTAGCTACAAATTCCTTCGCCTGACGCTACAGAACAAGTTGGATTAAAATTTCTATGCATTCGTGATAACAGCTGCACAGAAGTAAGATTTAATGTGCCATTTGCTGTACATCTTAGTTCAACTTTATCTCCAAGACTGACATTCACTGATGGAAATGCTTCAAACACAAATTTTCGTGGAAACACTAAATAAAACGAATAATATTTACCGTTAACGTTGAATGTTGGTGGGTTTGAAAATTGACCGTCTCGCATGGGAAACAGTTTACGTTTAAGGCTCGACACAATAATAATACTATATGCAGGGGCGAAACTTGAGAGGGGTGTGGTGGGGTGTGACACCCGCCAAAGTACAAATTATCTGGATTGGCAGGGCAAATCATCTGGATTGGCAGGGCAATGAAAGATTTTAAATGATAAAATAGAATTTATAGACCTAAATTTTACAGATATTGGTAAAAAAATAAGGGTTTCCAGGGACGTAGCGACCGGGGGGGTGTGGGGGGGGTGTGCCACCCCCCCCCCCCCAACTAAGACGATATGAAAATTTCAGGTAAATCCATGAAAAACTGGCATTATAATAAATCAGGTAAAAAATCTTGAAAGCCCATAACAATAACAGGCAAATATTAATAGAGGATTGAAATGCGGAAAATAGATGAGGTTTTAATTCTTTATGGCTTCATACGTTGATACGTTCAAAGATTTCCGTTGTTTCAATGTAGCCAGGCTTTATTTTACGAAAAGAATATGTTGTCAATTTTACTATTTCCATCGGCAAAAAACCCAGAATTTTTTCGCTAAGTAACATGCGCTTCCGGTTTTGGCTCTTTACACAAGGTCAAGGTACGTGCAAGAAATTATATTAATTTCATGACTACATCTACTTTTTGATAATAATGTAGTGTATTTGAAATACATAGAATTATTTGTTTGCTTAGATTAATACAGCGACAGGGATATGATATCCAGATGTAAATTTTGAACGTCTGTGTATGTGTGATGTACATGTGTGATGTGTATTGTGCGCTTTGTACTTTGTCATATTTTTACTTATGTAGTAGTAGTTCGTTAATAATTCTACACAAATGGCCGATATGGCGACATATATACGCAATATTTGTCTAATATTTAAACTACTAAAGGGTTGTCTCGTAGATTTGTAACATTGTTGAATAGTTTAGGTTGAATGAGCCGTTACGAGGGCATTGTTTTAGCACTACTGTTCTCTATATTATACGTGCATAAGCTTTATGCATTATTTATTACACAGTGAACAGCGTGAACAACGTCTTGAAACTTGATGTTAACCTAAGTATGTGACTTTTTGTGATTTTTGGGCAAACAAAAACGAGGATTAATGCAGAAACAAATTGGTCTTAAGAACACTTTTAATCCGTTCCTCTTTGTATTGCATTCAGAAACACCAGAAACAAAGCCCAGCATTACACAGCGAATTGTCCTTTTTCTTTAAATATGCGCTGAAGGAACACAGACGAATGGAAGAAGAACGTCAGCCGGCCACAAGGTCTTGAGGCAAAACTTAACCCATGTCATGTACGATCGCAGGGACATTGCTCTTAGGGTGGCCAAGGGGCATGGTCTTTTCAAGTTGGCTTCAGAGCTTTATAAACTATTTCTGACAGCCGCCCCTGCCGTTGTGAAAAATGAGAGATCATTCAGTTTACTGAAGATTGTAAAAAGTTATTCACGCAATAAAATATCTGGAAAACGTTTGAATGATTGCATGATCCTTGCCGCTGAAAAAAATATCACTGATGTCTTTGATGTTACTGCGATCACGAAAAAATGGTCAGTCTTGAAAAACCGCCGATTGCTTGAAAAGAATAACTTACTATTGAAGGTTAAAAACATTAGTTAACAAATAACTACTATGTAACATTATTGTTCATTGTATAGGGAAACGCAGTTCCAGTTCAGCTAAAAATTATCTTTATTATATAAATTATATCAATTTACACCTTTTCCCTACATAAAAAAGGCGGATGGACTGCTTCGACAAAAACTTGTTAAAATTGACTATAGTTATTGGAAGGCCGAGAGGTAACTAATCAATGTGATCATGGTATTTTAGATTTAACTACCTAATTGATAAAATGAGTGGAGAGTTCTATTCGGAGTTCGGAGTACTTGGTGTGTATATGCTCGTGTTCTTCTCGTGTGGCTTATACTCTTTAATTTAGAAGAACAAAAATAACCAAACATATTCTAATCGGAGAAAAACTAGATTGAAAAAGCAAGAAAAAATGTTGTAAAAATAGATGTGGGTTAAATATCTAGGTGATAACTGTGCAGGGGAGAAATGCACCACAACATTGCAGTGCCCAAATATAGGGGGTTTATCTTTCAGGTAAATTTTTACAATAGTGTAAAATCAGGTAAATTACTGTATTGCACCCCCCCCCCAACCAGCACACCTTCGCTACGTCCCTGACTGGGTTTCATTTCGACCTCCCTCCCCCCCAATCCCCGCTCGCCAACATTTTTGGGAGAAATTGTGGCCAAAAACAATTTTTGCTGCAGGGCATCATCGGCTTTCGCAGGGCAATTCTAGCAGACACCCCTAATTAAAAGGGGCTAGTTTCGTCCCTGACTATATGCTTTACCTATACAGTATATGCTCGACTGGGTTTTATTAGCTTATACTCAGCAGTTGCCCAGCTCTGTTTACTTCCTATGACAAAAACAAAATGGCTTCCTGTTTCTATTATTGTGACTCGCCACTTGTCGCCAGATTTTTATTGTCGTAGAATAGAATAGAATAGAAGAGTATATGAATTACGTATATTGAGTGCTTCAACAACAGACAGGGCCGTAGCATAGAAGCGATAATTGGGGGGGGGGGTATATTCATATATTCATGTTCAGTGTTCACACACCGTAAAAACAATCTCTTTCAAAACAAATCCGTCGGTCAGAACACGATATATGAGTATGCACCCCCCCCCCCAAATTATCTGTCTAGCTACAGCCCTGACAACAGGAATCACCGAATCATACCCCGGGGAGCAGTTTGTAATCAACAATATACATGTACTATCACTACAATGCAATTATTTTAATAGTTTGCGCATAGGCGTACGGGCACATTATTTTTGAGGGGGCTGGGCTGAATTTGCCCGAATGACATGACGTCATAGATTTCGTGACGTCATAAAATTATATAATCTAAGAAGACTACAAATGAAAGGCTTTCCTTTGAAGTCTTTGAAGATTGATATAAAAAAAAATGTTGTCCCTAGCCATTTCAATTATAAGCTAAATATATGGCATCACGATTTACAAAGAAAGAGAAAGTTACTAACGTAACAACATTTATTGGTATAAAATGGGTAATTGGACAAGTACTGGTGCAAGACATTGTGTAGCTTAAATAATGAGAGGACCAGTATTCCAAAAATCGTTGTTCTTAATTTCTTAACTCCGACTCCTGTGATGAACATGTACGTAAAAACCTAGGGAAATTACGATTATATAGAAACTGAAATAGGTGGAAATTTTATGGGACACGGTAAAAGGCGACGATAAGGAGCGGGAAATTAAAGTTGAGGAGGAAGGCAACCCTGTCCGTGTTTCGACCTAAAGATGGTGTAACATTTTCAATGTCCGTCACCGTATTCTGTTCACTATTTTCTCTGAGCTGTGACAGTGAATTTAATTCATCAACGTCAATGAACGTTGTCATTGGTTCCATTTGGTCTTCGCTCATGGGCTCCTTCACATTTTTCTCAGATAGATCTTCATCAAAAGACACCGTGACTGCAGAATCTTTACTACCACTCGATTCAGTTCCAAGTAGGGTTAGGTCAAACTGCAGGTGACAGCAGGTCATTATTTTTGGTTGTCATGTTACTTTTTACAAAGAAAGTATTGATTTTCGACTTGGATGAATCCGATGATTCCATCACTGGATGACATTTTACTTTTTTTACCATTGTGAAATGTGAACCAATCGAGAATGCACCTCTTTATAATCACTGTCGATTTCCTTATTGCATTCCTCGCACCGAACGTCGTAAAATCAACAATTTTTTAATGATTGTAAAAAAATCGCGCACTTTTATGTCTATCTAAAAGTCTAAAATTAGTCACATTAGGTCCTTGTATAATGTATAGTATCTATTTTCAGTGACTGGTGTGTCATAGCCGCGGTGCCGCCCAGGGCCAGAGCCAAAGGGTAAACATTACTGATCCGATTGTCACTACCCACACTTATACCACACCTTCGCAATATGTGCAGCTATATACTATAGTGTGTTTTCACATGACGTCACGGCATAAATTAATTTTATACGCCGCCATGTTGGTGGAGTGAAGTTCCAACATGGCGGCCAGCGATTCGGAACAAAACGTAAACAGCGAGGCAGAAAAAGTAATTATTCATGAGATTCCTTTGTCTGAATATGCAAAATCTGTCGAAGACAGCAACAGTCAAATGATTCAGATTGTGTTGTATTTGCAATCGCTTTTGCGACAAGTCTTGTTTACACATTGGATCGGTGGATCCAAATATCCCACGCTTTTATAGTGTATTAATACTGTGAACTTACTTGTATGCTTGCCTGAAAGCTGGTCTCAATACTCTTTTTCCGACGGCTGAGAGCACAATATAAAAAAGCTTACACCAATATTTAGTTTGCATTTTTATTGAACTATTAAACTGTTAAAATTATTATACATAAGGGACCGCTCATTATTTATTGTACAGGGGGGGACTGAGGAGAAACTCTACAGTTGTAATATTTTTTCGTTGCCCCCCTCTTAAGACAAGTAAAATTTTCAAAGCCCCCCCCCAACAGGCAAAACAAGAACATAAGTTTTGCCCCCCCCCTAGCTCTTTATCTTTATTTAGAGAAACAAAAACTCTAGCTGTTTATTTTAGAGAAAGAAAAATAGGTAATGGGGACCAATAGACATTCCCATTATAGACTAATTTTTTATCTTAGCAAAAAAAGTATATTCCCGGGAAGGGCATACTAAAATTACTAAAATTCCAAAGTTTGGTTGCAAAATGTTGTAAAATATGTAGAAAATATAGCCTTCCAAAGTTTGCAAATTTTGTATTCTTTTGTATAATTGCAATTTTCGCATGCAATACAAAAGTGTACAAAATTTGCAAACTTTGCAAGGCTATATATTTTCCGTATTTTGCAACAATTTGCAACCAAACTTTGCAATAATTTGCGTATTCTAGTATGCTCTTTCTAGCTGTGGTGATTTATTTGCATCAAGGCCGCATTTTGAGGGAAGTGTGGAGAGGTGCGCACCTCCCCAGAGATCGTTTTGCACCTCCCCCGAGAATTTTTCCACCTCTCTTGAAAGGTCATGCACTTCCCCTTGGGAAAGTTTCAATGATGGAACAAAGTGAAAATGTGATGGTTGCTTAGGATCTACACTTTGTGACGTAAGAAAGTTTTCTCTGTAAAATTGAAACAGTGATAGCCATGTCAAGCACCCTTTTAATGCAATGTTTTGAAAGAAACAGTGTAGCAATTGTAATGAAGGGCAAGATTGGAGTCATACATTCATAATTCATTAATATACTGGTACATATTATGTACACTACATGCATACCTCACCTCGTTGATATTGGCCTGTTCTACAATAAGCCCTAACTTTCCATGGGAGTTGTGAGCTAGACCGCTGCACCCCTCCTAAAATTTTTGTCCACCTCCCCCACTATTTTCACCAAAATCCGGCCTTGATTTGCATCTCTTTGCCTAGTTCTAAAATTAGTCTATAATGGGAATTGTCTATTTACATGAACATTAGAGACTTTTTATTTGACTTCCATTTATGAATATTAAAGTCTATAAATATTGTTATTTGTTGTTAAGTTGTTTTGTGATACATTTTTAAAACTACTGTTTTTTCAAACTGGTAAATATTTTCAAAGCCCCCCTTCTTTCGTCTCTGTGTAATTTTTCAAAGCCCCCCCTTTCAGGTTTTGAAAAATTTGAAGGCCCCCCCAGTTTCTCCTCAATCCCCCCCTGTACAATAAATAATGAGTGGTCCCTAAAACTCTATCAAAGATACAAACTTTTTGCATTTGAAAATTATTACAGACTTAAGACTTTGATAAACATTAAACACTTTTGGTGGTCAAAGCTGAGAACCTCCACATGGTGACCACTGGGCAAGAGCATGATCATTGTTGTGTAAACAGGGGGCGGATTAGCACACTAGGACCCCTATATTGTTTAACTGGACAACATTTTATTTTGCATATTATTCGTACAATGTCATATGTTGGTCTGTTAAAGTGTTAATCTACCCCTGTGCGATTGCAAACTTTTGCACAACCTGTTGGCTAATCTCAGCACTTTACACAAATATGGCTTTTGATTTTGTCTATAGGACCCTAAAGTAGTTTATTGCCTTGGCCTACCCAAAGTCTTTGGATCAATTACTTAACCCCCACCAATACAGTCCCAACAGACATGTTTTTTACATTGTTTCAATGCTCTTGGTATTCAAACAGGCCTAGTTGAAATCATGAACCAGGGATTTGACTCCCACAAGTGAGAGGCTCATAATGATAAAATGGAGGTTTATTCCCCATATCACAAGCCCCCATGACAATTGCATGAATTATTATTGCTGAGATTAGCCAGCATGTTGTGAAACAAACAGGGGTAGATATTTTACTTTTCAGCTGCTACTAATCCACCCCTGATTTACACAACATGCTGTTGCCCAGTGGTCACCATGGGGAGGTTCTCAGACTTGATCACCAAATTTTCAAATGTTGAAAGAATGTGTTTCTGTTTCTTGGTGAAAACATAATGTTGTAAAATACTTTACTTCAATCAAAAGGTATATAGTATGAAGGCAAAGGTTTATTAGTGCAGAGCGAACCTTAATCATTCTGTCAATGAGAGGAACAGATTCTCCTTTTCTGCAAGTAAGGTAATCAGTTCATTCAGTTGGCAAAGTTTGTTGAAGAATGGTATATTTCGGTCTCAGTAAACCAATAATTCTTTCGACATGTATCCGGACAGTAGCAATCTTTCTTGTCTGTTCCACATCAACAGAATCAAGTTGGTCTTTTCCTTTTGTGAATGCCGGAATGTTCAATTTGGCTTGGTGGAACTGAACACTTTCATAGACAGTGAAACCCCTATCCGCCAGAACCAAATCATCTGGTATAAGGTTGTCCAGTAAGCCACAGTTCTCAGTCAGAAACTTATCTGAATTCCTCCCTCTCCAAGCTTCACTGACAAAGCAAATTGTACCTTGTGGTGTAATTCCAATTAACACTTTAACAGTGTTATGATGCCTGTAGCTTGAAAACGTCTGTGCCCTTGCAAGGAGATTAGTTTGTCTATCAATAAAAGTCAGCAGAACATGGTTTACGCAGAAATCAAAACTCGGATTGAAGCATAGAATTATGACACTCGCTTGTCTGAATGCCAACTGTTGTGGTTGAAACGTCTGTTTGTGTTATGCCAGTTATGGGCTTATAGCCGGCGTTTCTCAAGTTTTCTGGAAAATTGTCTGCGATATCGTCCATAGTCATAGGATCAAATAAACATTTAACAACCTCGCCAGGTTCGTTTACTCTGTAACTTCTCTTTGACCATTTATTCTGTATTCTCCGGCGACTCCAATAAAAATATGGCCGACAGCCATCTTCGTCGATTCTTCGACTGCGTTTGGTTCACAAAATCTCCATTTCCTCGCCTTGATTTTTAATAACTTTTGGCACCCGACAGAAAGAAAGATCTTTACGTTTTAGATTTGTCATTTGAACAGTTTAAAACTACACAAAAAGCCGGCATATTGAGGAATATTTCGAACAGATTTGGCACAGCTATAGTAAACACTAGTAAATTCCTCGCACGTGACGCGTTTTACTCCACTAACATGGCGGACGCTAAATTCTAGTGACGTCACAGCGGTTCGCGTGAAAACACACAAAATACTTATTTAGTTTAATAGTTGTATAGCCTACATTATGCTAGGTAAAACTGCTGAATATAGGCATGAATATAGGCATGAATACAGTAGTGACATTTTATTAGTAGCCATAGGCCCATAGCAATTGTTCCTTCATTCTAGCCGTTTCTGTGGGGATTTACGTCTGTAGTATGTGCGCAAAAATCAAAACCAAATCCGATTTTAGAGCACTTGACCTTTAATAACGGTTAACCTGACGCAACATGCTTGAATCCAGCTATGCAGTCTATGGTAGTAATAAATATACACTAACGTTGCCATTACAGATTTACAGTGCATGATTGAACCTGTAAAAGTTGAACTTGTTGAAATAATACTTCTGTTCCGCTTTATGGATCAATATATTCGTCTAACCACCAGACCGTCATTGCCCGAATGACAAGACAATTTTTTCCCGAATATAGATAAATTCTCAAAAAATTGGGGGGCTGCAGCCCCCAGCCCCACCCTCCCGTACGCCTATGAGTTTGCGAAAAATGAATCAAGTTCTTCGCTAACGATGTGAACGAACGTGCGATATAGTTGGGTTTTCTTTACGTACAGTATTTGCGAAGAATGCTGTAAGGTAAGAGCGGCTAATATTGACTGAAAAAAATCTTGAATGTTTGATGTCCCACCCGCCATGTTCTGACGAACAGATCTACTTCCGTTCTTCCAACAGAACTTACTTCCGTTTCCTTATATGGTGTAGTTGTATGAATTCGAATTTCACTTTCCTCATCTTTTAGTTGTATCTTTGTAGGACACAATTTGGATTTGCATTTGGTTTTCGAAATACAGCTCATGACATATATCAAAATACTACTTATGTATTTGCACTTAATATGAATTTATAGCACATATAAACTCGATTGATACATTTCAGATAGTTTGTCCGCTAAATAACTTCGTAGGTGGTCGCGTATAACGTAAAGCTGCTGTAATTCTTGAATACACCTTCGTCTTCTCTCTAAATCTTGGGATCAAACACTTTTAACAAACTAGCCTATCATGCATATCACTCTTAAGATTTCGTGTGTTACCCGATTGATATCAGAACCTGCTTCTGAAAGAGTCACCCTCAATTTTAAATTAAGGTTCATTGTTATATTTGTGTTGTAATGTATTGTACAATATTCCTATGGTTTAGGCAACAGACGTGTGACATTTTAATTAATTCTGTCTGCAGACTGTTAAGAACTCTATTATTTTAAACGAAGTGCACTGTAAAAGCTTGCATGTCGGCAAATGCTCTGTTTTTGTTTTCAAGTGAAAGCAACGTATTTTTTCCTGTTTGATCATAAAACTTCCTCGATAGTATTAGTAAGATCGAGAAATACGAAACTGAATATTAAAAAAGTAGTCATACTTCAAATTTGGCTGACAATTTGTCAACAGCACAAATTACATTGAATATTTAAAGTCTGTTAATGCAGCGAGTGACAGACGTTATACTAAATCTGCGTGGCTTTATTGGCGACCTGTCGTCAGACCAGACAACAAGCCGGCAGAAGCACTTATAAAAAAAGAGATTTAACGAATTTTGCAATACCGGTGCCCTTGCTCAATGGCAACAGGTGTCCAAAGTTCTATTTGTTTGGGAAGTTGAGGCATCTTTCTCATTATTTTTTGTGGGTGTGCAAACAACTTAATATAATTAGCCTTATAATTGGATTCGATATTTTTATCACAAACTTTACATAATTATAGTATCATATAACTCGCCCTTTCGTTTATTCTCCAACGGATTAAAAATTATCTTATTTCCTGTAGTCTAACTATCCCTATATAAGCTTGGATCAAATGAGGATAAGAGCACGCGACCTTGGTTAGCAGTGCCTAAAGATTTACCAACACAATCAATGACAATGTATTTTATTTAAGTTAAAATATTGTTGGGGCACTCATCAAACCTTTCTTTTGTTAATATAGTACTTTTAAAAGAAAAAGAAAAAACACTATATATTCAATGTATAATAGTTAAAAATGTATATTCGTTTTTACTGTAAATATAAATTATTACCCTTCTGTTTTCAAAAGTTCGACTGACGTCGAATATAACCTGAACATGTGTAAATAATGCAAATAGGAGTCTTAATTAAAAAGCCTATCAGATTTCTAGAAGGTATATATTCATTTTAGTAAGACGAATTAGGAAAATTAGATGTAAATAAGTTCAAAATAACTTCAAAATTAAAATACATGAATGTATTAGTCCCTAATAAAGCTTGTATAGACTGCCACACTGTAAATTTCAAGAAGTTGACTTGATTGTCGTCATTATTTTTTCCTATACTCATCAATTTGCTCAATTTGAGGTGAAGTTGCATGGTTGAGGGAAAAACTTCATCCAACACTCAACAGCTTCAAGAAGTCCGTTTTTGTCATCGTTTTCAGCATCTGTGATTTCTCTAATCCAAGTACTTCCTCCATTTTTCCCCATGTTTTATTTGGTGTCAGTTTATCGGCGAAGAGTACCTGACAGTGAGTGAATGTTTTTGAAGGCTGTCCGGCATTTCCATTCTTAACACACGTGCTCTATACTTCAAATATTGAACATGTCAGAAATTGGAGATCGATTCCGATTTCGTTATTTCACGCAAACGTTCATTTGATGTTTTATATGCCCAATCTAAATCACCTTCAACTTGTGTAGCTGGATCTAGACTGGATCGACACATAGCTTGAATAAACTCCTAAAGATCACTGATTATTCTATATTTCTATCACCGTTTTTGGTGACAGATTAACACCTTCAAATTTACAGTGCAACTCTCATCAACCCTCAACCTCGGCGCTGTAATACTTGCATGCATTTTACCAAAGAGGGTACTAACAACGTTTAATATTTAGCATATGATACAGATTTTGTGTTCAAACTTCCGTGACATTCATAATAGCAGCTCGTGTAGAGAATATTCTAAGTGAATTTATGGTTAATATATAGATATAACAATTTCAGAGGCCAGACTGCTGACTGCAGAGCTAATCACAGCTCTCTTTCATGCCTGTATATTTATATTTTTTCAGGTAGCCAAAAACATTTTCTTCTTGTAAAGAAGATTGAAATTTTTTGGGCACAGAAGAAATTTTTTTACTTTTGTTTCATATTGTCAAAATTGAGTGTCCGCTAATTTGCTCAAACACAATTGCTGGAAAATGTTCGTATATCAAGCCGACATGATTGACGGCTGACGAATAAGATTCGGCCACAGAACAGGAAATTTTAAGTTTTTGATAGCATCATTTCATGAATTTACGTCTTGGGTACAACTTTTATTAAATCTGGTCGGTAAACATTGCAGAATGTATTCGGAAAAATTGAAATTTTCTACTTTGCTTAAGCATGCATAAGACCTTCTGAGCCGCTATACCTAGGATCCCAACATCTGACAGGCATGCTCTCTTTCATGCTCTATTATCTTTCGCAAACCTTGACTGCCTTTTGATGTGTGGCCTTGGGATGTGTTTAGCGCTCTTGCTGCCAGATTTGTAGCTTTTTCGTCCTGGAAATATTGTTGAAAGAAAAACTCTGGCTCTGAGCCGCCAAAAGCTTGTTGAATGCGATATTATACACATATGCAAAAAGGTAAAATATTCAGTGCCACTCAAGTCACTCAGTAGAACATTCTGTAACAATTATAACTATATTCAAAGATTGCTCTGACTCAACGCAAGCAATAGCTAAATATGTGAAATAATTCGATCAAAAAGTAGAATGATATAGAAAGCTTCAGGAAAATAATACGAACAATCAATTACATCTCGGCAAAATACAGTTACACAGCAACCAAATGCAACCAGGTAAATATGTATGTGTTTCATGACGTTTCAACGACAAAGCAACTACGCATGAAATTAATGTATCAAATATATCGCTCTCGAATCCGTTCCAACATTGCCAAATATCTTGCAATTTACATTTTCCTTGGGGGCGGTTGAAAAGTTATTTCAGTTTGAATTGGACTTAATGAATTGTTGTACTTCGAATCCCACTGCATGAACTGATGATGACGGAACTTATCTCGGACTATGAATTTTTTGGTCGATTAGTTATCAGTTACATCATAACATAAAGAATTCTTTGAGTTCAATGAGTTACTATGTTTCGAATATGAACACGCATTTGTAAACTTCATGTTTAGGCTAGTTTTATAGTGCTAAAATTGTAATTTGAAACCTGGTACAATGTTTCTGAAGTGCCGTGTAAAAATAATTATATATAAATATAATAATGCTGCAGAAGTGTCACTTAAAATCAATACTCCCTGCGAATCATGCATATACAGTTTGCATTAACCCACGTATATCCAATATAGATAAAAGCTAACTATGAATTTCCAAATCTTGTTACGAATAATAAACAAACCCAAGTTGAATTACAATACTTTACCTGCGTTCTCGGGATAACGCATACAACAGTGAACACTGCTTAATTCCAAAAGCAAAACACAGATTATCAGACATGGTTGACACAGTAATCGATATATTCCAGCCATTATATATGTTTCAGCAAGCCAGCCACCAGACGTTGTCGAGCTCTATTGACCTTGGCTGTATTCACTATAATATCCACAATAATAAGGAATGCTTTGTTTTAATCATATAACTAAAGCCAATATTCCTCCTCATTCACTTTATACACAGTCCACTCTTAGCCAGGGTGAGCTATCTCAATGCCATATTTAGAAAAGTTGTGCAAATTTAATTCATAACTTTAATAAGAGGATATAATTGAATATCATCACTTCCGCTAAGCATTAGTTTGGATGTTCAGCGATCAATAAAAGTGTGATATCTTTCAAAGGGCTTAGTTACAACGTATTTGTCTTTGATGAAGAGGATATCGTATTTCGGTACATTCTAGAACGGAACATTACTTAATTAATGGCCTTTCCCATGTGTTCGTTTTGCAAAGTATTTTACACCTAGCGTGATATTGATGAGGGTGTAAAATGTGAATTTGTTGTTCTCCGAAAATGGAAAGTGTTCAAATTGACCTGAACAAAGAGTCTTTGAAAATAAATATGCGTCACACTGAGAACACATTAGAGGCACTGAGTAGCATTTAGCATATATAAGCACGCAATACTGAAGCAAAAATCTGTTGACTTTGGATTGAGTATATTAATTGCAAAAGTAAACATATCAGGGTTAATAATGTTAAAGAATTTTGTGATCGCTAGGTTTGAGTGGTTATGTATTAAAAATCTGTTCAAACGTTTCGCACTTCAGAGCAGGATAAATGGCAAAACACTTGTCACTACGCACTAAATATTTGAGATATCAACTCAATAAGGGGTTTTATAAACAATCTTTATATAGAACGGCAGTAATTCAAGCGAGACTGACCAACTTCGTCAGCAAAACTAATTGTAACCTGACCACATACAGCGTTTGATGACATTTGAAACATTCACTAATTAAGAAAAAAGTGCGAAAATAATATTGTCGATGTTTACACCGCATGGGGGAAAACAAGCCTGCCCACAACCTGAATTTCGGGCTGGCAGCAGGCTAGGGCCGAGTTTAATTCAGATATTGACGACGAAATACGGACTACATTTGAAATAGTTTTTGTTATGTCATGTATGCAAATATTAAATGTCATAACAAATTTATCCCAAATATGTTTTATGTGCTTGGTTTTGTGTTCGGTGAGTTTCGTCTTTTAACTTTAAGCCCCGAGTTTACACTACGCTCAATTTTTGGTACCGTACCAATTTTTGGTTCTTGGACTACCTAAATAGGTAGTCCAAGAACCAAAAAAGTGGTACGGGTACCAATTTTATCCGTGCCGTACCAAAAATTGAGTGTAGTGTAAACGGGGCTTTAATCACTTTCTAATTTATAAAAATACTCTCCAACCCGCAAAGTGCGTAGTCAGGTTGAGTCTTCGGTGCTATGTTCTTGATTCTGTTTCACAACACATAAATCAGGGACGTAGCGACCGGGGGGGTGTGGGGGGGGTGACACCCCCCCAACTAAGACGATTTGAAAATTTCAGGTAAATCCATGAAAAACTGGCATTATAATAAATCAGGTAAAAAATCTTGAAAGCCCATAACAATAACAGGCAAATATTAATAGAGGATTGAAATGCGGAAAATAGATGAGGTTTTAATTCTTTATGGCTTCATACGTTGATACGTTCAAAGATTTCCGTTGTTTCAATGTAGCCAGGCTTTATTTTACGAAAAGAATATGTTGTCAATTTTACTATTTCCATCGGCAAAAAACCCAGAATTTTTTCGCTAAGTAACATGCGCTTCCGGTTTTGGCTCTTTACACAAGGTCAAGGTACGTGCAAGAAATTATATTAATTTCATGACTACATCTACTTTTTGATAATAATGTAGTGTATTTGAAAGAATAGAATTATTTGTTTGCTTAGATTAATACAGCGACAGGGATATGATATCCAGATGTAAATTTTGAACGTCTGTGTATGTGTATGTGTGATGTACATGTGTGATGTGTATTGTGCGCCGTGTACTTTGTCATATTTTTACTTATGTAGTAGTAGTTCGTTAATAATTGTACACAAATGGCCGATATGGCGACATATATACGCAATATTCGTCTAATATTTAAACTACTAAAGGGTTGTCTCGTAGATTTGTAACATTGTTGAATAGTTTAGGTTGAATGAGCCGTTACGAGGGCATTGTTTTAGTACTACTGTTCTCTATATTATACGTGCATAATCTTTATGCATTATTTATTACACAGTGAACAACGTGAACAACGTCTTGAAACTTGATGTTAACCTAAGTATGTGACTTTTTGTGATTTTTGGGCAAACAAAAACGAGGATTAATGCAGAAACAAATTGGTCTTAAGAACACTTTTAATCCGTTCCTCTTTGTATTGCATTCAGAAACACCAGAAACAAAGCCCAGCATTACACAGCGAATTGTCCTTTTTCTTTAAATATGCGCTGAAGGAACACAGACGAATGGAAGAAGAACGTCAGCCGGCCACAAGGTCTTGAGGCAAAACTTAACCCATGTCATGTACGATCGCAGGGAC